CTGTCAACATCAAAATAACAAGACTATTTTACCCCTAACTTAGCTTGATTCAAGCCAAGGCCCAATCCAAAGGATCCAAAAGTCAAAAAATGAACCAAAGCCCAACATATGGCCAAATTTGGACCTTTACATGCTCTTACCCTAAGGTCGAACCATTTATTCTAGTCCCGACATTTGGCATTCTGATGGTTCAATGTCTCATAATCATCAAGGCCCAATTGGCTCGTCTATGGCCCAAATTTTCAAATTAGGCCCAAACCCCTCACATGGGCCTTACCCTAAAGCCCATCCAAATATTCTAGTCCATATACTTGTTCTTGGATGGCCCATCAATAGCCCAATCACCAAAGCCCAATAGAAAGGCCCAACTCAAGGCCCAAGCAAAATTAGGGTTTTCACATAAAATGACGATTAGGGTTAAGTGTTCTTACTTAACCCATTAAATACTTAATCCATTAGGTCCATCACTCTACTAGGTCAAACATACAATGTGGTCGGGATTAAGTCATAATTCCAATCCAATGGTCCAAACATGCGGGTCCCGACAATTCCAAATTAACATATCCAAAAATTAGGGTTTTCTAAACCTTAATTAGGGTTTCCAACCCAATCGCGTTCCAACTAGTCCATTTTTTAAGCTTTTAGGTTAATTAATTGTTAATTAAGTCGGGCACCACCCACTACCACCTCGGGTAGTGGTGGTCAACGGTGGCTCATGGTGGTGGTGACAGATTTCGTTAATTATTCCGACCAAAATACAATTGTACAACATAATATACAAATGAACACACACATAAAATAACACACACAAACACACACTCACTCAGCCACCCTCGTGGCGGCAGGCGGTGGTTGGAGGTGACATCCACCACCTCACGGTGGTGGTGGTAGCTTTTCTCATGAAGTCCGGCCAAGAAACACCCAAACAACACTTCAACTGAAATTAACATGCACATAACACCAATTCACACACACATCTACCTCTCATGGTGGCTGGTGGCGGCAAATGGAGGTAACATGGCGACAACCACCATGGTTGGTTGTCATGGTGGTTATTTACATATTCTGGCCATCTACACCCACCCTTCGACTGAAACACGCATCTTTACGCCTTAAAATCACACACACAACACCGAAATATGATTATCCTCACCAAATACGCACCCAATCTCGGCCACCCCTGTGGTTACGTGTGGTAGTCGAATAGAAGGGAGGCGGCGGAATAGTCGTTGGAACCACAGCAGTAACGTAGCACCAGAACAGAATAGAGTAGAAGATGGGAGAGGTCCGTTCTTCTTTAGCCACGAACGGCAGCAGTTACAACCATGGTCCGTCGGCGGCGGCGGAAATGGAACAACAACAGTGAACGTTTTCACTGACAACAATGGTTCGTAGTGGTGACTTCGGTAGTCGGAGTCGATAGCGGCGGCTGGAGGTAGAGAAAGAAGGTGGCGGCTGACTCTTAATGTTAGGGTTAGGGTTACCTGGAAGGTGACAGGTTATATACCCCGACTCCATGAAACTTCATCCCATAATGGCACAATCGGTCCCTCCTTCTCCTTTTTCTTTCAAATTAAGTCCAGATTTAACCAAATAGCCCTTCCTCTACAAATTATTTTCAACTTAAGTCCATATGTTATCATTCAACCCCTTAGCCTCCAAAATCCTTAAATTTTAAGTCCAACATTTACCAAACACTTTGTGACTTCTGAAAATCTTTACAAAACCAATCCAGACTTACACTTTTAATCCCCAAATTCCAAAATTATGACGTTTTAACTCCCCAAAGCCAACACCTTGCTAAATATTTATTGATTTTGGCTATAATATTATAAAATAAAATACAATTTACAACTTAGGGTTTTAGAATTTTATTATTTATTTACTTATTTTATTTTAATTTCAAATGGAGTGTTACAAAAAAGATTTAGGAAATATGGTTTCTCAAAAAAAAATTAAAACAAAAAACTAAACAAAGATTTGTATTTAAGAATATTGGACTTGGATGTAATGATTCTTGTAAACCCACTAATCTTACAACAGAATCGAGAGTTATAACAAAACTACCCTCAAGGGAAAATTGGTCAAGCAACCAACCAAAGAAAAGTAGACCAGTAAGTAACCATAACACTAAAAAAATGAAGTTTATGCATGTAATTTAACATTTCATCACAACAAAAGCCATTGTATTAGGCCCAAAACGCCTCTAAATAGCATCTGGGGTAAAATGGTCAATTTTAGGTAAAATATATAAGGCTCTATGAATTAACATTGTAAATACAGTTAGAGATCAACAATTGAATTAACTCTATACACAACAGATCCAAGGAATACACAACAAAGCTAAGTAACCCCCAAGGGTAAAATGGTCCAGACCCGGACCAAAAGCAAAAAAACCACCAAAGTGTGCATTACAAAATGAGGCATTAACATTTAAAACTCGACAACAACACCAATGAATTAGAGTCAAAACCCACAAAAAAAAATCCAAGATGACTTTCAGAAACCATCAACTGCCAATAAGGATCCATTTTATAGCATCTTTAAAGGCTCACAGTGGTCAGACCCGAACTGAATAAGATTTGTCAGAAGAATTGAAGACCATCTATGCAGGTAAGTTGGAATCAGAAATCAATCTAATCAAACTTTAAAAATTTGTAGATTGATATATCAACAAAAAAAACTCCAACTCAGATCCAACAATAGTGGATTTGTATGTATTAAAAAAACATCACCAAGAAAAACAAATGAATAGATAAAACAAATGTCATGATGGCTAATTCACTCATTTAAACTGTTGTGAAGTCATGTATAACGAGGGGACTTCATCAAAACATTCATGATTGCTTCTTGAAATATGAAGCGGGCACGCCAAAAAATTTTAAAAGTGTAATGTATAAAATTTCAAAATTATGTCAAAAGCAAGAATTGAACACGGGTCTCTTCAATACAAACTTCGCTGCATAACCATCTCAACTACAAGTAAATTTGTTTTTCTTTTGCATATTATATTTTATATTATTTACAATTATATATCATACCACGTAGAGACCCCAAATTTTGACGAGGCTCGGAGTAGATTTTGACGAGGCCCGGAGCAGTCATCCAGTTTGCCCGTGCTCTAGGGCCGGCCTGGATATAAGCTATTGAGATGATGTGATTTTTAGTATGTTTATATTATAATATATTTGAAACAATTACAATGTTTTAAATCAATTTAATGTAAGAATAAAAATTTCATAGTTAAAGAAGTTGATATAGTTATTTTAATAACACGTATGTCGATGTTTTTACTATATAATTGTGTATGTACAACACGTGAATATTCACTTAGTATCATATAATAAGAAATTGTAAACATAATTGTCTTTTAAGTCACACCTTTAAATGTTGTAACCTTGTTATGTCTCGTAAAACTTGAAGTTTGACTTTGCTGACACACTACCAAGGGTCTTTGGCCTAGCGGTAATAAGTGACTCTCTCAAATGAGAGGTTATGGGTTTAAGTCTCACTAGGAGACATAAGTGGTGTTTAGAATTAGATTAAGGAGTATGATAGTTTGACATTTTATTAAAAAAAAAAAAAAAAAAAAAAAAAAAAAAGGACTTCGCTGGCATGCTACGTTTAATACTATTTAGAACCTTACAAAATATATAGAACAACTTTCTTTTAAAAATTTGATTTTGAAAATAAAAACATTTTCATTAAAATTTGATTAAAGTCTCATTTTTATAATATATACACCACTTAAATTTTTTTAATAAATTAGATTAGAAGCATTACTATTCGATATTTCCTATGATGAATACAAATCATCACAACACACTTTTTGATGCTTTGGTATGTTTCCCGAAGCGGCCGTTCATCACAACAAATATACAAAATGATATCAGAATAGATAACCATTTGATGACATGAATTCATTGCTACGTATCAAATGCACATCATGTTCTTTCCTTGACTCACACCAACAAGTATTTGATGAAGTCTTGCTAAAATGGCAATCTATGATTGCTATCTAATCAGTAGCAATCCATTCAGTTCTGAATAATCATGAATCATATTTAGAGAAATACAAACTAAAAAAATTTGTCTCACTTGATTATTAGTTATTGAAGGGTTAGCAATATATTTTGGCTTGACAGAATAAACGTTCATTTGATCTTGATCATCGTGGATCGAACAAGGGCTTAGACTGTATCTCCACGGCTCCCCTAATAATATCCACAAATGAATTGTTTTTTGTAAGAGATGAGTATTACCATTTATAAATTCAGGTGCATGGTATAAATCAATATTCCGATGCGTTCTGTTTTTTGAACCAGAATAAATATGTTTTTGAACATTTTCTTTCAAATTCAAAGTGGATGTTCTTGCACGAATCTTAACAATCACTTGTTCTAATTCTACATATTGATCGTTTTGAACTAAAAGAAAACTTTTTGGCGAATACACACATTTTGTATAATATCTTTGCTCTCAATAGTTACATACAAGTCTCTAGAACATAGAAAATCAGGATGTCCATGTCGTGTCGTATCAAAGAACCAAATATTCGTTGAATTTTATTAATCGCACCGATTTATGATAAATAAGCATCACACTACTGATGAGTCCATCTCTTGAAATCAAAACCTCGCAATTCATAAATGCAATACATCGACATGGTAGCAATGTCTAATCATGTTTCCTTATGTGGTATATCCATGTGTTATGATCAAAGTGTGAATGTATTATTGTCAACATATAAGAAGTGTTGACAATTAAGTTTTATGTTTTTGATTTGAATGTTTATGTTCATTTACGTTCATTTATGTTCATTTTGCATCTTTACAACTACAAACAAAGTAACTTGTTAAATGAATGAACATGAACAAAAAAATTCGTTCGTTTATATGTTCATGTTTGTTCGTTCGTTTGGTTAACTTAAATGATTTTTTTCATTTCGTCATGCTTATTTGGAATGCTACTCATTTGTATTCATACTCTTGTATTACATTCCAATAATTGCATGTCCATCATATTGAGACACTTCTGTACCAACAAGTACATTACCAAATACATATAATGCTCATGCTTTATCTATTTTCCATGTGGGCATCGTACTTCTATTATGTTCCATTTAAGCAATGTACTTTTGTTGCTTATGCTTCCATCAAACTTTAGGATTTCTCATGCATCTTTACCTCGATGTTATAAAATACCTTTATCCTAACATTCATTTCCAAACACCAGACCCCATACATCAATTATGTTCCTAATGCTTGGTATTTGATCATATTCTCCTATTGGTCAATTTCTTATTGTCTTTACATACTAAAAGTTTCCATAATGCACAAACTAAAAATCTTTTTAAGAACCTCAAATATCATGGAATTTAAAACAATGAATGTTATGTTAAGAAAAAACATTAAATTGCTAATTAGTACATTTCACAGAAACAATCTTTTTGCATATTGCAAAAAGCAAAAAAGAAAAAGAACATGTAAAACCACTTTTCGCCCCAACACGAGTAGTTTTGATCCATCAAAGGAGTCATTCAGAATTTGCAATTTTTTACAGATCATACATTTTATATTAGCCTAAATATCACGAGTAATCTGATATGAGTTCATATAACAATAATAATCATACATATTACATACCTCAGAATTGCAAACTTTCTGATTGACTAACAATTATGCTTCATGTTGACTTTATGTTGCTCTCTCAAAGCTACTTCCTAATTGCATATGAAGCCACTCTGGTTGTGATTCTTGACCATATTCACGTGCTGCTTGTGACCCAAACAGAAGTGCTGCTGCATCAAAGGGTTGTGGATGCACAATCTGAAAACAATTCATGTCAATTATGAAGTCAAAACTATAACTCGTTTGACCTTAAAAAGTCAAAAGAAACGTGACCCTTTTCTCTTTAAGATATAAGGAATCAGATTGTGACTCAATAACCCAATCAAGTGAAAACAGAACCACAAGAAAAGAGTCAAGATGTAGTGCAAAGTGGTCCAAACTCCATTAAACAAGATTAAAGCTTGTGAATGACAAAAGTTTTTGTGGTCCAATACTTCCTCAAACTCATCTGTAGACTCTACAAATTCCTAGAAATGATTCGCTACAGATCAAACTTGTTTTTATTTTTGCATTTATGTCACTTAAATAATAAAGGTGTTTAATACTTACATCTTTTGTAGGAAACCCTTCAATGGGAGAGTGCATTCTTGTATTTACAGCTTCAAGCTTCATAGACAAGAACTATAACATGGAATATATCAACAATTTAGGATTTTTATCATACAGAAAGTTGTAAATTTGAGATGAAAATAGTGACAAACTACCTCGACTTGATGTTGGAGTGATTGAATGTAGTTGATTATTTCATCAAGTACAAGTGCTTTTCCTATAACCTAATACAACAAAACAAGTGAATAATTAGTCGTTTTTTTTCAATCTTTTTAGGCCAAAATAACCAGATTCAAAGAAATCGGAATCCGTGGTGCACCTTATTACACCCAGGGACCAAATCTTGAAGAATTTTCATCCTTTCACTAATCTTTTCTCTCCTAGCCTGTTAAAAATGGGATTAGATAATGAACATGGAGTTATAAAAAAGTGGGAATATAATCAAATATATAAAAGAAAGGGATAATAAATGGAAAAAAATTACTCTTTCTGCAAGACTATGGCTGTCTGTGGCTTGACCCCTTCTTGCTCTGACATGGATGTAGTCTTTAGGTGGTTCTGAAGGTTTACTGTTTTCTCCATCAACTTTTAAACCACTCAGTTCATCTTTAGATTCAGACATCTTCGTTCTTTTTCCATTCAAGTTGCTCTGTTCATAAATGGAATTAATAACTCGTTTGGATCTAAATTTGTGGAAACAATCAGCAAGAGGAATATAATTGATGGTCAAGGATGGATTTAATCGCAAAATAAATATTCACAGAAGAGTCGAAAGATTTGAAGGTAGGACCAAATGAAAAGTCTACAGTAAGCACAGAAATCGAAAAGATCGGATATGGAAAGGTACCCATCATTACAGACTCAGAATTCAAAAGACCCATGAACAGTAAGATACTGTAAATCGTTTACAAGATGCCAATAATAATATTTCAAGATTGATTCAAATAGATTTTGGTATCCTTTATTGTTTGAAAATTGAAACGCGTCTAAATAAACGCATAGAAAGGTTTGGTGTGAACCCTAATTTATCTGGAAATGAAATTTGAGGGAAAACAGTTGGGAGATTTTCGAACGAAATTTAGCGGCAATTTCAGTTCCAGAACAGGAGGTCGATGTTTGGAAACATCTGTTTCAGCTAGAAATAAAAATAAGATTAGAAAAGAGTAGATAAATTTGGAAATTACCAAATCATTGCCGCTACTAGTAGAGACAAGCTTTGAAGATTCGTCTTCAGAATTAGCATCCCTCCGCTTCCTTCCGCCACCACTCTGCTCCGTCACCGAAGATTCCTCATCGCGGTTGTTACCTGGTTCCACAAATCCATTGATAAAGCTGCTGCCCATCTTCAGTCCCAATCCCTCATTGCCACCGCCATTGATGGAGGAAAACGGCCAAATCTCAGTTAAACTGTAAGAAGAAGGATTCGCTGCTGAGAAGGAAGTCTCATTGATTATAGGTGGATCCATTAAGATCAAGATAAACCTTCCTATGTGATTCAATGTTATGTGTATACAAAATGTATATATTTTTTTGATTTTGAGGGAACCAATCAATAAATACGAGCCCTAAGCGTTCGGTTGAAGACTAAATATGGAAACTGGACATGGGGTTTGACTAAGCTGATCTGGGTTGAATTCCTATTGCTGTATCTTCGTAGCCAATTCGGCTATTTAATAATCTGACCCAGAGTTTATATATATAATATATAGATATAGATGCATACATGTATGGAGAGAGAGAGAGAGAGAGAGAGAGAGAGAGAGAGAGAGAGAGAGAGTAGATGTATAAGGTCAGTGAATGCTGGGAGCGAGTGAAGGAGACGATGAAGGAGCGCAGTGCGCTCCCGGCGCATTTTAAGCAATGTCCCCAGTTTGTTAGAAAGAAAATTTTAATTACAAAAGAGTCCTTGTACTATTAGTTAATATGCTAACGTTGTATATTGACCAAAACATTTGCAGAAATGGTGTTTATTGGGACTTTGTTTTCTAATAAGGTTCTTATCGAGATATAAAATTGGGTAAAATACACATAAAATTATCATTTTGAATAAATAAAAATACATTCATGTTTGAAAAATAAAGATAAAACAAAATTGATTAAAACCATAATTACTAATCTTAATTCATTTTGCTTTAGACCTTCATACCTAGCTAATTTTCTATACAAAATTAGGGAAAAATAACTCAGAAATATAACAAATTTTTGGTTTTGTTTTGCTTTTATTTGTACAACATTTATCATTTAACTTATTGATGTTGTCATAATATATCATTATGACTGGCTAACATAACGTTACCCGGTCAAAATTAATTTTTTTAGCAAAGCCTATGAATTTTACACCAAACATAAAATTTCTAATGAACACAAATCCGAAATGTAGATTTTTTTTGGCATGTGCTCTTTGAAATCGATTTCAAAATCTAAATCCAAACCCAAAACCTAAGAATCAAAACCCCTAAAATCTAGTGTTCATTCATCTTTGAAATCGATTTCAAAATCTAAATCCAAACCCAAAACCTAAGAATCAAAACCCCTAAAATCTAGTGTTCATTCATCAGAAACAATTTTAAAAGAAAAGAAGATCTTAATTTCATGAAGCTCTTACCCAGAAAATGGTTTTCAGATGTTTGTTGTGCTAAAAAAAATTCATATGTTTTTTTTTCAACAGAAATATCAAACCTTCGATTTCAAGGGGTACGTTTCTGGGCTTTCAGGAACAAGAAGTCGTTCAATTTCTTGGTTTGTTCTTGAAACACATGAATAAGATGCCATATTTTGCGTTGATTTCTAAAGAACAAGATGTAAGTGTGTGTTCTTGAAATCGTTTTCTGATCAGAAACCGTTCCTAAAATCGTTTATGAAATTGTTTGGATCTTTGTAGAATTGTGTGCAAACCAAAATGTTTCTGAACAGATGAAGATTAGGAAAACACAAACAAGTTTGAGACAAATCAGTTTCTGGAACTTGAGGATTTTGATTCTTGGGTTTTGTTGGACACGATGAAGATGAACACCTAATCTGACACGCACTTTCAACCCTTTGCTTTCTGGACCTTCAACCCTTCGATTTTTGGACCTTCAAATCACTGATGAACACACTCAAGAATTTTGAATGTGTTCTTGAAACTATACCCATAAATTAAACATAAACGAAGAACCCAAAAACTAAAATCGTTTTCAAAAACAAACGAACAGATGGTAGTGAGTATTCATGAAATCTTTTTTAGATCTGAAACTGTTCCTACAATCATTTGGACGGAAAAACCATTGGAGAAGACGACCGGAGTGATATACTCGTCGGAAACCTTACCCGGTAACAATGTTATCTTTTGAACAACTACAACAAGTTCATTGGGTAAATTGTGTATAAAAAATGACTGAATGTGAACAATAGCAAAACTCATTGCCCTTATAAGTTATTTTGCCACATGATTATCCATAAATGTGGAACTAAAATATTACGAGACCTTGACATTTAAAAGCAATTTATGAAAGATACCATGGTTAAGATGATTCGTTACATCCTTTAAGTTCACAAAATCATTGTCAACTATACATAATCATGATAAAACAAGAATGTTAAACTCAATAGTGATGATGGTAGCAAACTCAGAAGATTATGTATCATATAGCCATGAATGTGAATATCATGGTAAATGAAGAGCAAGATCAAGCCTAATATGTTTGATTAACCCTTTCCTTTCAATTCTTATAAGAAAGATATTCAACATTTGAAGTATGAGCCAACAAAACAGTCGGACTAAAACATAGTGCATGACATAAGAAAGGTTGTCGAGCAAAAGTTGTAGAATGGTAGAATGAAAATCAAAGCACGAAAACCATATAACGATTAAATTACACATCTAAGTAGAAGCTATAAGATGACAAAGGCATATTGTCGAGCAAAATTTGCTAAGAAATATAAGAGCATCTAAAATAATATAACTTATTTATTAAGTTTTTCATGACGCCTACACACTATTCATCAATCTAAAATCTCAAAAAAAAAAAAAAAAAAAAAAAAACCTATACATTAGAAGACTTTTTTCATGACTCATTAATATGTATTATATGGGCGATTGCTAGCTCCTATGATTTGAATACATATTAATTCTCGAGCCTTGTTGTTATCTGCTACATTCAAATGGGTCTGAGGTTGAATCATATCATTTTGTCATCTGTTTTTTATAATACAAAGGTCGAAGAAAAAAAATATTGTTTGTCCAGAAAAAGAAACCTACACCTGCTATTTTTTTACCCAAGGCCTATTTCTTTTTATCTCGAAATGATGAATTGAGCTCGTATAGGCATTTTGGACGTTGCTATTGAAATAACCCTTCTCATTATATTTTCTATTACTCCATTCATTTCATAAAGTATTCGACCTGGTTTAAAAACAACTAACCAATATTCATGAGAGCCTTTACCTGAACCCATACGTGTTTCTGTGGGTCTTACTATAAATGGTTTATCCAAAAATATACGGATCCGTATTTTTCCACCGCGACATGCATTTCGTGTCATTGCTCGTCGACCTGCTTTTATTTGTGTAGATGTGATCCAAGCGTGTTCAAGTGCCTGGAAAGCGTATTTATCAAAAAAATATCATTGCCTCGATAAGACATTCCCTTCATTCTTCCTCTACGTTGTTTACAGAATCTGTTTTTTTAGGGATATAGTCGATAGATTGTTTTGAATTCCATCTCTCCTACAGAACTCGACATGAGAGTTTCTTCTCATCCAGCCCATCGCGAATAAAATGAATTCAAATTAAACATTTTGAATTCAATTCAGATAGAATATAATTTGAATGATAGTATACAATCTCAAAGAGAAGGCTATGAATGTCATATGTGTAACAACCCAAAATTTTAAAACAAAAATTTTCATTTAAAAAAAAATCAAACACATTTCCATAAACCATGAAATCCCAACACAATTGTTTTCAAATCCACATTCATTACATCTTTATTTAAAAACATCAGAGTATCCCATAAAATGTCGGTGAGAGAGTGCATGTCGCGCCATCAAGCCTTGCCCTTGCCCTTGGGATCAGGAGTACCTTAAACAAATCCACAAACTGTAAGCTAATGCTTAGTGAGTCCCTTAGAGCATACCTCACATACAATCCACATAACACATACCATATTAGCTATAAAAGCTATCTCTACCACAAAACATATCATATTAGCCATAAAGCTATCTCTACCATATCACATATCATGTTAGCCATAAAGTTATCTCTACCATATAAGATTAGCTATAAAAGCTATCTCTACCATATATCCCTACATAAGGATATCATGGGCTCCTCCACATGGTCTTACACCTGAGTGTCATGGGCTCCCCCATGGTCTTTCCCTGTCGGACAACCATGGACTCCCCCACATGGTCTTACATCCAAGTGTCATGGGCTCCGCCATGGTCTTTCATGCAAATATCACATAATCACTAGCATACAACTTAGCATTATGCTAACTATATTACCACATATCTCTACTACAACTAGTGTACCACATATCATAAAATGGGTCGGCCTTAGTGCCTTAGACCCATTGGTATGGTGAGATAACTAACCTTTGTTTGTAGAATCCGAAGGCCGCTCTCCTAACAATCCGTAGACACTTGTGCTGAATAATAATAATATTACTCAATGTTAGGATCAAACACCATCTAAGTGGGGGAACCCAAATCCCTAAGTCCTTTCACAAAGCCCCAAAAGGTCTTCCTTAGCTAATGGGCCTAAAGTCCATATCCCAAGTCATTATTGGGCCTCATGGCCCAATAAGGCCCAATCATAACATCCATGGTCCAAAACAGATAAATGTCCCCTTAACCCCAAAATATGATCAGGCCCAAAAGAAATCCAAGTCCATCTGTTGTGCGTACGCTTAGCTTACCACCCTGGTACACGCAGCGTACTGAGTCACTGGGCCTTATGCGCTGCGTACGCTAGGTTACGCCCAGCGTACTAACAGGTTAAGCACTTTCTCAATGAAGTGCTTAATACTCGATTTTCTCACGTCCAATAGTTAGATCTAAGCTTATTAAGATAGTCTAGGGCATAAAGTTGGCAACTTTATGCCTTTGCACGTCTCATATGTTTCCACCAACCCCATTAAGACCTTTTTAAGGGTCTTAATCCATGCACGAGGTCAAAACTGTTACAACTAGAAATTTTTGGTGCCTTGTAACTACAACACTTATGTCAACTATGAATCAAAAACATGAAAGCATGCATGACGCTTACTCTATGACAACAGAATTTCAATGAAACACTTCATACAAGCACTACAAATAGTCAACAAATAATTGGAAACCCAAGAAGTCCTTTTTTAAGTCCATTTTGGACTAGGACTTCCTTATTGGGCCCAATGGACCAATAAGCTTCCAATTTGACTATATTGGGCTTAGAACTCTTAAATAGGCTCTAATTGGACCCACTTTGATTTATTTTAACATTTTGGGCCATATTGGGCCTAGAATGAAATAAAATACCCAAATGGACCTTATTGGGCCAAAAACAAATTTTAATAGCCCTAATGGGCCATAAAACTCATATTTTGGTGAATTTTGGGCCGTGAATTACTCTAAAAGGGCCAATGGGCTGAAAACCATTAACTTGGGCTCCATATTATGGATTTAAACACAAAAGGCCCAAATCTCCATCTCTCTTCTCTACCTGTCGGCCCAAGTAGTAAAAAAAAAGAATTTGAGAATTAAGGAGGACTAGCCACCGCCTTAATACCTATGG